TCTCAAAGAAGGCTTGGTTGCGGCCCTCCTGAGCGCGGAGAGAGATTCGCCTACTCTAGCCCTGAAACGCAAAACTACATTGTTGCTTGGAGAGGTGTTGAAGTTGGCAAATCAACTACTACCGAAGAATTGGAGTGCTGATCTTCAAACGTTGCCGGACTTGTTCCAGTCTGCAACTCACTTTGGCATAGATGACAGGTTCTTGGCTGTTGCAACGGTATACCAAGTGGACAGTGTGAACCGAACTCTGTATAGATCCGGAAACGCAAGCGCCGCTTCTGGTAGGTCCATCGCTGGTGTTGAGGGCAAGCCTCCCGAACCTCCCAAGGTCCAACTAAGCGCGAACATGGATGAGACTCAGTTCAGGAGTATTTTGTTGGAGACGCAAGTCCTAAGTACTGTCAATTACACCAAGTGGCGGTGGGACCTGATACAGCCTATCATAGAGGGTCCATTGACGAACCCCAAACGATTGGACGAGGCTATGAGAGCCACTAAGTTTGTACACCGGTTGCTTGGGTTCTTACGGCCCTTCAAGTTTCGGTTTTCTGATGCAAAAAACACGAAGCCCAATCAACGCTACGTACGCGCCAGCTGTGCGCTTGTACGAACACTGCTGCAGACTGCAGAGGGAGCGAAGTATCTCGAAGAAAACAAGTTTCTCCGCCAGCTTGCAGAATGCCTTGCTCAATTTGATCGCATGAGCGGCATAACCTCTGCGACGCCGCTTTTCTCACCGGAAAGGCTTGCAGATACTCTGGTAGGTGGGTATTTTGCCATTCTGGGCGAGCTTTGCAGCGATCCGAAGGGACTACGGATTATGGAGAAGTGGAAAATCATCAACATGTTCTACCACATAGTCGAGCTCAAGGGAAGAGACGACCTTATCCGAGCACTCCTTACAAATTTGGACTACACTCTCGACAGTCATCCCCGCATCATCCTCTCCAAAGCCATGATATCCGGCTCCAAACAGATCCGTATAGACGCGACGAAAATACTTCGCAAATACGCTTTGAGGCCGCTGGAATCGAGCTCAAAGTCTGGTCCTGGCGGCGAATGCGCGACCTGGGCAATCCGTTTGCTCGTCACTCAACTCTATGATCCAGAGATTGAGGTCTGTGAGATCGCCATCAAGATTCTCGAGGAAGCATGCAACGATATTCGGTCTCTGGAGTACGTCGTCAAATGCCGCCCAGCGTTGGATCATCTTGGTGAAATTGGAGCACCGCTACTGCTTCGCTTCCTGTCCACATCTGTGGGCTACCATTATCTTGATGGGTTGGACTACATCACCAAAGAGATGGATGATTGGTTCCTGGGACGAAATGATTCATACGTCACACTCGTTGAGGCATCACTTGCCAGGGCGTTGGCGGATGTGGCCGAGAAGCCTCAGTCGGCATTCGACGAGCATCCGGAACCACAAGATTACGGATTTGTCCCACCGCACTTCTACAGGGAGCTTACCCGCACAACAGAAGGGTGCGAGCTGCTAAGGGCGAAGGGCCACTTCGAGGAGTTTGCCGCAACGGTAGCAGACTGCGGCATGGAGGACAAAGATCCCGAGACAATTCTGAAAGTCAAAGGCTGCCTCTGGGCTGTAGGGAATGTTGGCTCAATGCAGCTGGGTGCGCCATTCCTCGAGCAAACAGATGTTACCAGGCATATTGTTGCCATTGCCGAGAGATCAGAGGTTATGACTCTGCGCGGGACGGCCTTTTTTGTTCTGGGCCTTATTTCTCGAAGCCTGCACGGTCAGGAAATTCTGGCAGAGCTGCAATGGGACAGCACGGTCAACATCATGGGCGAGTCCCTGGGTCATTGCATGCCCTTGGATTTCCAGAAGCTCTTCTCTGTGAGTTTACTCCCTCCTATGACTGTTACATTTGCTAACAAACCCACAGATAAAGTCCTGGGCATCCGTCTCACAACGCGATCCGTTGCAGCTGCACAACCGCCGCCCACCCATCACTGATGAGGACCCCACCAACAATGAGATCCTCAAAGCCGTCATCAAGCTCGGCAATACCGTTCTTTCGAACAAGGCGGCGGCCGATCTTAACAACTTCAGAATCAAGCGCGTCCCTGGGTTGCACGATCCGGCGCTGTTCCATAAGGTCATGGCTACGCTGGCGGGCCATCATTATCGACTCCCGGCTTGCCGATTTGTTATCGATCTATTTGACAAGAGCGTTATGAGGAAGATCGTTATGGAAGAGGGTGAGTCGGATTCGGATGAAGGACAGGACGATGGCGCGAGGCATTGAAGTCCTTTGGCCGCTAAGAGAGGTAGATAGGGTTGTATTCGTTGCATAGCATGGGAGTTACTGGTCAATTTTGGAGAGAGCTGGGGCACCGAAAGAGGACACAAGGAGTTCGGCGGGTCTGGGAAGGACGGTTGCACTTGGGATAGCTCGGTTGTAAGAAAGCATGTACTATCTGGACGCTTTGGCACTTGATCGCCGAATTAAAAACATACGATATCTCAAGTTCACAAACTGTCTTTCCTCTAGCGAACGTGTTCTAATGACAGATTTAGCACTGAAATGCTCCTAGAAATACATACACCGCCTTGGGCGGGGGATATCGTAACCCAAAGACCTACATACTCCAAACCTCTAAGTCATAGCGCTACCACTCCTCACCGAATTGGCAACTCAGCAGCCGGAACGTCGTCTTCAGCTGCCTTTGGGCTCGCAGCCGGTGTAGGCATTGATGCCTGAACACCCAACTTTGCCGCGCCTTCATTGACACCAGCACGCTGCCTCTTGTTCACGTAATCCTTCCCAGGACTGTCCCAAGCAAAATCGAGGTACTCTCCAAGGTGCTCTTGAACACCGTCGGCCATGATCTGCACCGCTCTCTTGCGGTTCAAGCTCCACTCGTGATCTCTCGTCCAGCGGCCGGCCTTCCTGGCCAATTCTTCTCCGTCTTCCAGCCCGTCCAGTATACTCCTCCACACCGAGATGGTCTTCTCCAACTCGCTGGCCTTGCTGACGCCCATGACACTCACACCCAGCTTCTTGCCTCCGACCTGCTCGTTCGACTCGCGCTGCCACGGCACGCCAGACGCAGGGTCCCCGTGCGAGCCAACAGACTCGCCAGCCGTGATCCACGACTCGAGCGCGTACCGAATGGCAACGACCTCCAGCCTCTCGCCATGGCGGTCGCAGAAATCGCTCGCTTTCCGAATCGCAGCGCGCAGCCCCGGTCCAGCTGGATGCCAATCGCCCTGCGCGCCCTGCGGCACACCCTCCCTGCGCAGCAGCCCCATCCCAAGCGGCGACGCGTTCGGCACCACATCGACACCCGCCGCCTTCAACAAGCCCACCCCAGCCGACTCCAGCGTCGTATTCTGCAGCGTGAAGTTCGCATAGCTCATGACCGCATCCAGCGGCTCGCCCGTCTCCTTGTAGATGCGCATCGCCAGCTCACACAGCACCGGCAGCGGATATCCCGAAATGCCCACATATTTGATCTTGCCGCTCTCGTCGCGGATCCGGCGCAGTTCCCGCACCGCCGAGAGCACCTCGTCGCCGTGGACAAACTCCACGTCGTGGCAGTATACCACGTCCAGGTAGTCCGTGCGCAGCCGCGCCAGACTCCGGTCCACGCTCTTGCAAACCCATTCCGGCGAGTAGTCGAACTCCGAGCCCGCGATGCGCCCGCATTTGGTGATGTAGAAAATGTCTTTGCGCGCGACGTGCGAGCGCACGAAGGCGGTGTCGAGGGCCGCGCCGAGGAGCTCTTCGGAGGGTCCGTAGTAGGGCGAGGTGTCGAAGGCGCGGATGCCGTATTCGACGGCTTGTTGGACGAGCCCGACGGTGTCGAGCGCGTAGGGGTCGTTGTTGTATTGGGTGTTGAAGGTTGCGCAGCCGAAGATGAGGGGTGGGAGGATGGTGGAGAGGCGTTGGGCGGGCTTGCCGGGGGTGGTCATCGTGGGTGAGGTAGGCTACGTGTACTGCCTGGTGTAGAATATGGAGTGGGCGCTGAGGTGTATAGATTGGAATGTGGTTCGAGAGGCTGGAGCACGATGCCCAGGAAGGATGAGCTACCACCAGGAGTGGGGAACTGGGAGCTATGACAGTTGTAAGAAGAAATCACAATTACGCGTATTGAATCCTAGAGATGGTCTTTATCCAGCAGGCGGAGGGTTTGGTGTGGTCAAGAGGCAACTTTTGAGAAATGTATACAAGTATCCATGACTTTCCATCCTTGCAGGCCAAGGCATATTGCGGGTGTAAACGGCCTACACCCCCAAGCCACGATTGCTGGCTACATGACGAAGACGACTCTGTATGGGCTGATAGATAACGAGACTGGCACGAAGCATGGCACTATCGAGCTTGGCTTCGTTCGTCCAGGCTTCTGGAACCATTGCGACATCGCCGAAACGCTGTAACGAGCTCCGTCTCTGGTCCCTGATTTGCTCGGACGTTTCCACCAGCCCGAAGCGACTGCAGATTGCGTTTACAGATCTACCGGCTAGCCTATTTTTGGCGTATTCCTCCTTGCGATCAACCAAGCATGCGTAGGCGAAAGCAGGCAGACTTAATCACGCTGGATTACGAAGCAAAGGCTTTCAGTGTGCAGTATCCGGAAATGTCATTGCAGTCACGATGGGATGAATGGCTGCCTGTACTTTTACATAGCCAATAGTAATTCCACCGTACCAGCCGAGTGCAGATACGCTTGACTAATACTGAAAACCCTTGTAGAGAATTTGTTAGCGCAGCAGCATCGCGTTCATTCGCTCAGCAGGCGATTGTTGAGGAGTATATAGTCTCCGGTAGTGTCTACACGATTTCCGACTTGGTCGAATACTAGCGGTCTGCAGCATTTCATTCACATCAGCGGCGTCCTCAGACTCTATGTCAGCCGTATTAATCCGTCTTGAGGTGAACCTTGGAAGTCTTCTAGCTTTCCATCGATACTCAGATAAGGGCTGAGGATGCTGCTCATATATAAGTCATTAGTTTCGATGACCTCGAAAACAAGCCTCTATGGCGCAGTGGTACCGCGTCGCACTTGTAATGCGAAGATCCCTAGTTCAATTCTGGGTGGAGGCAAATTTTTTGCTCTTTTTTGCCCCAACGTGACCTAACATCCGTATAACGCCAGTATGCTCATTCTTTTGTTTCCGCGCTTAGATGTTGTTGGTTGGGGTCACTAATGTCTATAATATCTCAGAGAACCACTGCTGGGACAAGCGTTGAGTGCGAGCTTTGAGTGTCAGCTATGTACAATAAGCGCGATCAAGGTCAAGAATGTCGTCTACACATCTGACAATACAACTACTCATGTTTACAAGAATGCAACTAAATCAAACAACGAGCACTGAGATCCTTCTCAATGGGTATATTTGAAAAACGGGTTGTCCAAATCCGAGCGATCCGCAAACGCCATCTTCTCCCTGAGGATCTCGCGCTCAGCGTCGCCCATCTCGGCCAGCTTAGCTTCATTCCTCTTATTGAGCCGGTCATTCATCCACCTGAGTATCAGGACGACAAAGCACAGCAGACCGAGAGTGACGACGATGGAGATCTTGCCGCCAATGTAACCGGGGGCTTGCGTTGCCTGGAAGGTCTGCGTTCCCAAAACTGGCATTGTTGTTAGCGGTGTCGGTGATTGTGGTATGGGAAGAGAATGGGCTTACTGTTTCCGACGGCGAAGGCGACGAGCGTCATCGCGTTACAGGTGACCTTCTTCGTGTGGCCTCCCATGTTGCTCGCGTTCCAAGCTGTTACTGGATCAGTGGCGGCACTCACTGAGCGGATATATGGATACTTACCAAGCAAGAGCATGAAAGCGGCGCCAAAGGTGCCGGTGAGGAACGATGCTGCCAGCAGACCTGCCTTGTTATGCGGGATCCCGTTCGGGTCAAGACCGATCATGAGCGCAGCCCCAAGGATTGTAGGGAGCGTGCAGATGAGCATGACGCTACGAACAGTCAGATGAGTCTTTAAGCCATCAGTGTGGTTCCTGCAAGTACGTACCTAGACCTGTCGTTCCACTTATCGGATAAATAGCCGACGAGCAGAACGCAAACAACGCCCACAGCACCACTTGGCATGGACATGATCAGGGCCTGCTGCGAAGTATAGCCAAAGGTTGTCAAGAGGATAGAACTGAAGTTTCGATTAGTGTTACGAGATGTGAATGCCGCTTGGTCTTCATACCTGAAGTTCGAAAGTCCACCATTTGGAATAGAGCTGAGCATTGTGCACAGGCATACAAGCCAGACACGACCGTCTTTCAGCGTCTGGAGGACCTGGTCTTTCTTGAGGTGGGCGTTTTGAGTACCACTAAACGATTGGCCAGAGTCAGTGTCCCAACTAGCTCCAGTGACAAGACCCATTTCAGGAAGCAACATACCTTTGATTGGACTTCACACGCAGCAAAGCAGCCACCTTCTCTGCGTCCGAGAAGCGCTTCGCCTTGACCGGACTGTCTGGAAGAAGCAGCGCGATCATGGCTCCGATGACAACAGTCATGCCTCCAATAGCCAGGAAAAAGATCCTCCAGCTGGCGAATTTCGTGGTTGCGAAGCTGACACCGTATGCGATTGCGCCTCCGATGATTTGAGTACAGCTGTTCATGACTGGTCATAGTATGTGTCAACGAATGCAATCGAATATTGTTTCACATGAGTGAACATACCATAAAAGAAGGAGACTCTTCTCCCTTGCTCTTCTTTCTTGTACCACATTGCGATGATCAAAACCAGGATCGGAGCTACACAGGACTCAAACACTCCGAGAAGCGTTCGGCAGACCGCCAGGCCGGCGAAGGATGTGCATGCAGCGTGACAGCACAGCACGACTCCCCATAACATGATATTCGTTCCGAGGTAGAGAGACAGACGGGAAAGCTTCTGAGCTAGATACCTAGTGGGTCGTAAGTACGAATCGTAGATCTAGAACACAGTCCAGCATACTGTGTAGGAAACTCGGTCGCCAAAAACCCGATATAGAACAGCATCGACAAGTTCGAATAATCCTGCCCCTTCAAATGCGTATCCGTCCTAATCCCCATAACAGCCGTGTAACTCAGCGTCGTCTTGTCCAGGAACTGGAGAAAGTACACACACGCCAACAGCGGCGCGATCGTGAAGTCGATCTTCCGCACCAGGCGCGCGAGCGACTTGGGATCGTCCAGGATCGCCTGGCCCTGCGCTGCTACCTCTGCTGCGCGCGGGTGGTTCTCGAGGAAGGCGAGGGCTTCGTCGGCATCTTTGAGGTCGGTGACGGTTACGATTTCGTGGCCGGAGACGATGGAGGGTTTGCGGCCGTCGAGGTCGGAGAAGGGGTCGGGCTTTTCGTCGAAGCTCTTGACGGGTGATCGGGACATGGTTGAGATGGTAACTCCTGTCTGGCCGGATCTGGTCTCAATGGGATTGAGTTGGCGGTGCGTTGTAGATGCGCGAGAGAAGACGCAATGGCAGACATGGTGGTGTACTATAGAGGCTCTATATACTCTGCACACTCCCACCCCTAGTCCGACAATCCCAAGCCCAAACAGGAAAGTAGTAAAGCTGCTGGTAAAGAAGATAGCGACGCCGTCTGTACGACCCACCTACCTCATACCTGATATGGAGGGTGCGAAACACACCCCTCTGATTAGCTCCAAGGTACGTGTGCCGGCATACGGGCTAGGGATGCTCTCAGCTAATGCCCATGCCGCTTTCCGTGGAGTTCTGCATGCGAATGGGCGGTTGAAAGCCCATGTATCTGCAACTGTCGACCCGATTAGGAAGCTCGCTGCTCGGCACGATGAAGCCGTCGGCGCGCATCTATATTGATGTCCTGCAGGGCCCCCTTCTTTTCCTGATATCGACGAATTTGTTGAAGAGATGACTACAAATATATGTTTCGTGATATTGGCGGTTTTTTGAATTGTCTCCAAAGCCTTGCCCAAAGCCTTGCGTGAAGGGCACAAACTTCGTCTTGTCTGCCTTGAGGCGACTGATGAATTTGAGGAGATCTTCGCTTGATCGACATCTGCGGAGTAGAAGCGCCACGCGGGGAGGATATTGAACTCAATCACGTATTAGCATGTATAAGCGAAGATCTTAGTGCACCAGATGGTTGCCTGTATGACTTGACGCTTGGCCGACATGACACGCTGCGCTTGGCAACAATGCAGACGTCAATCTGTCAGATATGGAGTGAGGTAAACCAATCAAAAGTCCAGGCTACAAAAGGGTATCTAAGATGCAAATGCAAAGTCCATGAAAGTGACCCCAGATAACTATCCGCATCTCCTTGAAGCCCGTGTCCATCCATAAGCAATGCCATCATGGAAAACCACGCTGCAGAAACGCCACCCACATAAGCATTGCGTTCAATCACTGTCGAGATCGACCACCTCCTGCGCCTGCCTTGTTGCGCCCGCAACAGCAGAGCCATCTCTGCTTCCTGCGACCGCCTGTTCTTCATCATCATACGGTCCCTCCCCTTTATTAGGCTCTTGCTTCGGTCTCCAAGTACCGTCCTTCTCGACTATGATAGCTCTGCAGTCTAGCATGTTCCTGATCCCCAGCACTCTCCGGACGTGCATGAGAAACCCATCCACAATAAGCTCCTGCGGCCGGACATCCGCATTGCAGATAGGGCACTTCCAAACATCGACATCCGTAGCTATGCTGCTCTCTGGACAGCGGCGTGTTTCCAGGAAGGTATCGAGGTCGAAAGCTTGCCTGTGCGCGCAATTCCTTCCACGAACCGGTAAGTCGAACATCCGGGCATTCGAGAATGGCTCGAATAGAGGGATGTTGATATTGGAGTCCACAATTGCTACTTCGTCATCGTTCTCGCTGCCCGACGAAGGCGATAAGGAAGCTTTGATGGACCCTAAGACGTCGTTTGCCAACACCAAGCGATTGCCGAGACAATCCTCACGCATCTTCGAGCGCGTAAGAAAGCCGACTACCTCGACGGCTACTGCGAGATCCAGGGGCGATGTGTCAGTGGAGGCGCGGTTGATGTAAGCAGTAAGTACGTTATCGCCAGGCCGGATATGAGCCGTTAAGTCGATCGGTAGATACTTCCCGTAGTGAAGCTTGCAGCGGGGTTCCAGTATGAAATCATTGATGGTGAAGTAGATGTAATCTCTCCAGATACAGTCGAGACCCGCCCAAGCGCTATCTGAAGGAGTAATGGAGGTTTGGGGTAAGTGGCAGCATCGAAATCGGAAGAGCTGGGTACCCTCATCGATGGATCTGTTTCCTGGTGCGCCCATATTCAAGTCGACAGTATCTGGCAGCTTCGCAAACTGCACGGGGTCGACAGTGAAGGAGAATCGCTGCACGGGAGTATCGCGAGCTAAATGTCGAGGTGGTACTTGTAGATCGGACACGTAGCTGTAATATCGCTCCTGGCTCGACACAGACAAATCTAGAGATTTGCGAGCTTTCAGTACTGGACTGCGCAGATGAGCCTGATGGAGGGCGGAGGAGATGTTGTTCGGTCGCGCCGGCTGCGCGCTAAGATAGCCCGCGGCAGGAATCAGTATTGATGATTGGGGCGAAGCTGTGGCGGTACGTTGGTTGTGGGAAGCGCTGGAGAGACTCCGTCCTGCTGCTGAAGGCAGGCTTGGAGAGAAAGAGATGGCAGCGGGCATTCGCGACAGCGGCTGTTGGCTAATTGCACCTGGCGAACGGGCTGGCGCTTGCTGTTGCGTAGCTAGTATCGCGCTCTGGCTTGAGACCGCTGGTGGTAAATGACGCTGATAGGCTCCTGCATTAGCCACGCTGGAGAATAACAATAACTGCTGATATTCGAGTCGCCGATTCATTGCGGCGTCATGACTGAGGCGCCCATGCCGAAAGAAGTGTTCCTGATCGATGATGAAGAGCTGAAAGACTCGCTCAACAAGATGAGCATCCCACCCACCATTCCACGTTTTCTCATTTTGCAATCTGCGGAACATCAGGCGTTGCAGTATACGTGATTGCGTGCGCAACGCGTCGGAAAGATCTTGCGGAAGAGGTAGGGTCTTTGCTCTTTTCAGATTATCGACCAGCGTATGCCATCTGCCAGGGAGCTGATGCAAGAAAGACGAGATTGCG